GCCTATGCCTGCGCCCGCTCCGCCCCCGTGCGTCGGCGTCGGCCGGAAGCGCCTGCTCCCGCGTGCGGTGCCGAGTGGAGGAGTAACCAGGTGAGAACCCTGGAGCGCGCGGTGTCAGTTGGCTGCGAGTTCTCCGGTCAGTCCCTCTCAGAGCCCCCGTTGGGCTGTCCCCACCCCAGGGACTCCCCTACGGTTGTGTCCTCGTCCGACGGGGACCCCACCCGACACGAACTTCCACCAGAGTGAGGCCCTACCTGGGATGAACCCCCATCTAGGCTAAGGCACCACCACCTGGGCTGAGCCCCACCTGGAATGAACCCACGCGGACCGCGTCCTTGCTGCCTCACCTGCGCCGGGGCTGGGCGCGTCTCTCTCGCTCCTCGCGGGCGCTTCTGCGCGGGCGCGCTGTCTTCTCTGGATCCCTCTGTGCGCCGGCAGTGGCGGCTGGGACTCGGGGTTGCGGGCGGCTCGAGACACCCTTGTCCTGCGCTGGACAGCGCAGGGGACTGCCTGTCCTGCCGAGCTTGCGCGCTGAGTAGGGATTCGCCGGGCAAGCGCTGGGCATTTCGAGAGCTCGGTGAGAGCGAGGGACGCTTCTCTCGGGATGTCTGCATTTCTCCGGCAGCTGCGGGCTGAAAGTAAATTCTGAAGGCAGGTAATAAAAGCCCTCAGGACTGCACATTCTTCTGTATTGACGGACTCGATAATCACGAGACCTCTGTTCAATTCTTGCGCTATTCTGTTTTTATTCGCAGTAACTTTATTTTGTATTGAGTATTGTGAACGGCTTTGTCTTGAACTGATATTAATTTTTCTGTAACGAAAACGACTTAAGCTTTTTATTAAGACTTTTAAGAAACCCAGAGCTTTTGTTTTGTCTTATTTTATGGGAACTGTAGGTTGTTGTTTCGTGGTTTCCATTATTCAGAATTTTATTCTGTCTTTACAGCCATTGATTGATTGATTGGTACTGGGGATTGAACTCGGGAATTTGCGCTTGCGAAGCAGGCGGCGGAACCCCTGAGCTAAATCTCCTGCCCACCATTTCTTTCTTTCTTTTTCTTTTTTAGTATTCCATTGTTTTATTTATTTCTTTTTCCTCATTGAGTTTATTGGTACATTTTAGGTATACAGTACAGTTACATTCATTATTGGGATCTTGTACCTTTGCATGACAGGTCTTGGTTCTCACTTTTTTCCCCTTGTCCCTGCCCTCCCTTCACCCCTCCTCCCCTCCCCCTTTACAAACACTTCATTTCCATTTTTTCATTTTCTCATATTTTTTTCTTTCCTTATTAGCTAACAAGGGAAAAGAAAAAAATATTTATTTATAGACAAGATCTCGCTGTGTAATTTGGGCTGGCCATGAGCTATGTAGCCCATACTGGCCTTCAATTCACTGCGATCCTCCTGTTTCAGCTTCCCGCGTGCTACGGGCCGTGTACTACCATACCTGACAGCAGCAATTCATATTACATATCTTTGGTGATCTTTTGGGCAGCAGTTGGTGGTAAATTTGTTCTTGAGTAAATAAGATGAAGTTACAGCGGGAAGTTACTGTTGCAGTAGGAATAACAGTATTTCTTTTGGGGTTCAGTTAAACCTTACTTTCTCCAAGTACTGAATTGCAATTTTTATTTCATCTGTTTCATGGAGCTAGGCCTAATACGCGATACATAATACTTTTTTTGAGACAGGGTCTTGCCATGTAGTTCAGGCTGGCTTTGAACTCATTATGTAGCCCAGATTGGATTTGAATTCAGAGGGATCACCCTGCCTCAGCCTCCTGGAGTGCTGGGATTACAGGTGTTGGAACCCATGCTTGGTCCATAATATGCTTTAGAATTAAGATATGTGCAGAATTGTCACTTTTTTTTTTTTTTTTTTTTTTTTTT